ACCTGGCATGAGTTCATTCTTCTTCCCCAGAGAAAAGGGAGCAGGAAGAAAGAAAAGGGAGAGGCATTCTTGCTTGGCCTTTCCTGAGAAGGTGATGTTCCTTTTCATTTGCTTCTGGGATCTGCCAATCACAGGGTGATGTTAGCCCCGCCCTTTTTGCCAGAGTGTGAGAGGCACTTGAGGCAGCAGCCTCCTCTTGGCCTGCGATGAGATCTACAGCTGGGATCTGGCCACCCGGCGCTGACCTGGGGGGAATCTCATATTCACTCGCCAGAGCTTTTCAGAATGGGCATTTGGTGTGCAGAAGGGTTTTTATTTCAAGTTAAGGCTTTTACTTACACTCAAAAGCAACTTACCCTGGAAATTATTACTATGAAGACAAGAATGAAGGATGCATGCATTTAGCTACAAGTCAGCTCCATTCTCCCTGGCAAGCCACCTTCACATCCTCCCAGAGCAAAGAGCTGAGAAGACACGAGGAGTGGGCACACCCGGTACACAGCAAGGCCCAAATTTCATGGCATATGTGCCTTTCCAGATGACTGCATGGATACGCTCCATAACACATTGTTAAAGTGATAATTAGCGATAGACTTGGTATGAATATTCCAAATAAAATTTCTCTCCACAACAGTTGATGGAGACAAAGGGCATCACACAAAATGTAAGAAGTATCACAGGGATTGTGTGTGTGTGTGTGTGTGTGTGTGTGTGTGTGTGTGTGTGTGTTTAAAAAGGCATTGGGAATATATCACAAGTTGATGTCAACACATTGAACATCTCAGGATCCATTTTCCATGGAAGGTACATGAGTATGTATATTTCTCCTTCAGTGCTGAGGAAATATAATACTGTATAATGCCCCCGCTTCACAAAACATCAAACTCCAAGAAGGGAAGAGAAACCCAATTCCGGAAGTGACTTTTCTGTTGCCCTGCTTAACAGCAGCTAAGGATACTAAAGATGCGAAGTGACAGAAACAAAACAGAACGCCGAGGAATCAGCATAAAGTAACTCCAACCAGCGTGACTCACACTTGGAGAGTGAGAGAGAGAAGGCTTTTATTCATGCTTCACATTTCCCTCCTACAGGAGACTGCTGAAGGCTGCAGCTCTGCCTCCACAACCTTTTACACACGCTCCCATTTTTAAATTCATCGCGATTATGCTCCACATGGAGCAGCGGTGATGCCAATGGCACACTCCCTCTCCTCCCGCTGCCTAATTCTCGAGGGCAGATGAAAGACTCCAGGCATCCAAAGCAATGAGAGTGAGGAAGCTGGGGAACCTCTGACACCAAAAGAACAAAAGGAGGTCCCTCGACCCCACCGTGTGGCTGTAGATGGAGAGCCAGCGCTGCTCAGGTGCCTGGAGAAACCCACCCTTCAGGGCTTAAAGAGACATGGAGAGGAAAGCAATCAGCAGTGCCGCTGTGTCTCCTCTGTTACCGGCAGGGATTCTGTGCTTACTCAGATGGAACGTTCCATCTGAAGGGGGAAGCTGAGCTCAGAGCCCTCGGCTGGCAGAAGCCTCACTGCCTCCCCACAGTCCTACCAGACATCACCCAACAGACACCACTTCCTGTGGTAACTGGCTATGGAGTCCAAGGGCATCCTAAAGCCATCTCCACACCCTCTTCAGTTTCTAAATGAGGAAGCCTGAGACCGGAGATGTTGAAGAATGTGCCCAATACAATGGCTTGAGAACAAGTGGCAGGATGGGTTTCAGACCTAGGACCTTCAGTGGGCTTTTTCTATTAAAACAATGCTACTCCCTTCTTTCCTTCCTCGGACTAAACTAACGTCCACACCACGGAATTGTCTTGGAGGAAGTAAAATTAAACATTAGATAAGAATTTTGAGAAAGGAAAAGCACCATCTAGTATAGGATAACCTCAGCACTGGGGACCCCCAAGCCCGACCCCGGCTTCTTCAGGACCTGAGGGAAGCCGCCTCAGTGCAGAGGGCACCAGGAGCAGCGGGGGGTGGGGGAGGGAGCAGGGCTGCAGGCAGCCCCCAGGACTCACACTTATGCTGCAGAGCCTTTGTTGCCTCTTCCGGCCGCAGGTGCTACTTCCCGGAGACCATGGAGTATCCGCCGGGCTCAGTCTCTCTTCCTTCAAGTCTGTCATCATATGCCCCCTTTTCAATAAGGCTCGCACTATAGTCTTTAAAATTGTTCCAAGTTGATGTCAACACATTGAACATCTCAGGATCCATTTTCCATGGAAGGTACATGAGTATGTATATTGCATCGTACTTAGTTTTTTTTTATAGCATTTATCATATTCCCAGACTATATAATGTACTTATTTATTATGTTTCTTTGACTACCACCTTCCATTTCTAAAGAATACACACAAGGACAAGGAATTTTATCTTTTTGTTCACTCTGGATTCTAGAGTTCATTCTGGGTCTAGAATAGTATCCGGCACATAATAGATGCTCAGTAAATACTGGTTGACTAAATGAATGAACAAATAATTGCTCTGTTCCTTTGCTTCTCATCCTTTCACTCTCTCCCTCAGCAACAACCACCTACTTCACACACACACACACACACACACACAGCTTTCTGCTTTTTTCTCTTTTCTCTACCTGTATCCAGGCCTGCTACTAAGATCAACAAGGATAGTTTAGGCTAAACTTAATAATTCAGTAATAATATTGCCAAGCCCTCCATTAAATGCTCATATTTTATATACATATAGAGTTTTATATGCATTAAAAAACCTCTAGAATGATACATAAGAAACAGATACCACTGGGTATGTCCGGGGACCCAGATGGCTGTGCTTTCATACTATTTAAATTCTGAACTATGTGAATATACTTAACTATTAAACATGTTTAACTAAAAGTGAAAATTGGGGGGAGGGAATCCGCACATATTTCTCCACTCTTGTCCTCAACACCATGTTAGTTACCAATTTTTCTGGGTGAAGGTCACTAAAATGCCGTCTGCCTTGGGTGAGGATGGTGAGGCAGGGTGGCAGTTCCCCTTTTCTCTAGTTCCCACATTTTCTTAAATGAGGAGATTGTTACTTTTATGAAAATGAAATAATGGGAAAAGTTTCCATCAAGCAGACGGATATGAATTAATGCAAGTTCCCCTACATACATAAAACATGGATACTTTATTTCAACTCATGAATCCCTTTACCTTTAATTTTGCTCACTCCCATTTGGAATTCTCATTTAACAGATTTCCGAATACGTTGCCTAAGATGGTGCCAAGGTCTCTGGAGGTGAAAATGAAGGACACAGACAATGTCTTCAAGGAGGTGGTACCCAGTGGGGATGACCACAAGCAAGCAAGTCTCACTGCCTAACAGACACTCAAAATGACAGCTGAGATGAATGGGCCAGTGGATCGTGTGTGACTTCAGACTGGTACACATTTCCTGCCCTGAGATGTCTAACTGAACTTACTCCACAAGGGAGTACATGTGGGTGTTAGGCATTGACCTTCTGTAGGCTGTGATTTTCCTGAGGATGGAATCCCTATTTAATTCATCTTGGTCTTTTCAGCCTCCAACTTGGCACCTTGCAACAGTTGCTGCTCCATAAATGGGTTATGAATGAATGAATAACTATTTCTCAGGAGCCAATGAGGAACTGCAAGATATACCCCAGTTCCAAACTCAGACTCCACCTCTCCCTCACTCATCACCTGCTGAACTCCACCGTCATTCATAGCTATGCTCTGTCCTGGGCAAGAGCATCTAGTTTAATGTGAAGATTAAACTAGAATCATGGTCCTTCATGCTGCTTAAAATAGAGGGAAGCTGGAAACAACCTAAACACCCAGCCATGTGTGATTAGGTAAGCAAAGATGGTACATCTCTGTAATTGAGGATAGTACTCTTACACTGCAGTCGCTGCAGTAACTCGTGGCAAAAAAAATAAAAAAAATAAAAAAAATAAATGGGGATGTGCATTCTTTGAGCTATATCCATGTGGCTTTATTTCTTTCCACAAAATGATTTAACACCCTCATTTTTTTTTGTAAATTACACTTGGCCTCAGTTTTCTCTTTTGTAATTAAAGGTATCACTTGATCATTTTTATAAAGCTTATATAGAAAAGCTGTTGTGATAAGACATTAAATGACAATGAGTGCTATCAGAGAATATGTGTGGTGCTGTGACATTAGCTACATGTGTATGTACATGTGACACTAGAGGCTAGACAGGGATCTGGGAGGCTCTTCACCAGTCGCAGTGGCTGTCTTTGGGGCAAGTAGAATTAGGGGATGGTTTTCTCTTCTCCATTTGTCTTTCTGATGCTTAAATCATAAGCATGTGCCACTTTACAATACTGAAAATAACAACCAAAGTTACTTTTGATTGTGGAAAGAAAAGAACAACACTCCTGGATTGGGAGAGACTCTAAAGGGTGAGAGTAAAAGTTGTGAGGGTAAAACCAGCCAGAAAATGGAAAGAGGCTTGGCCTCACTAATGCTGCTTTCTCCAGGGAAGGGAGCCGGGCTCCTGTCACCTCCAAATTGACAAAGATACACTTACTCGCACACATCCAGCCAAAGCACGTCTGCCATATATGGTGGAGTCGCCACTGGGTGAGTCTCACCTGGGACAAGGCAGGGAGGGGAGAGGCACAGGGGGCCGATGGCAGGAGACACCGACCAGGCCAGGTAGCAGCTGTCAGAGTGGACCCCGTTCACAAACGAAACAGGTATTACATGAACTTGGCAACTTCTGAGACACAGGAATGTCTAGAGGTGCTTCTAACCTAAAGAGACCCAGTTTCAGGTAAGACTGTGTAATCCAGCGCTCGGAGGCAGAGGACGTTAACATTTCCTCAGAGAGAAGGTTAACCAGAACTCCCAGAGCTGAAGCAGGAATCGCCTGCTGAAAGGCGGGCATGAGATCGTCACAGTCCACGGGGAATGGAATCCAGGATAGAATCCAATGCAGGAGGGAAATTCTCTTCTCACAATATCCATTGGCAACACTGGCCGCAACTCAATAGACAATTCCCTCAGGGTCACTCTAAGAAACGATAGGACTCGTGCTGCATCTTTGGCTTCTCTGGTCTTTGTTGCAGCATTTGCGACTGCAAAGTGAGAAAGACTCCCCCTGTGTGTGCTCCATTCAGTGGGTCCTGGACAGACAGCTCGGGAACTGCTGTGGGTGGCTCCTGGTCATTGCTGGCATCTGCAAACAGGGAGAGTGCTTATCACAATGGGACTCAACCATTCTCCTGCTTTCATCATGTCAACAATGAACAGAAATGAGACAGAAGCTGGAGTGGGCAGTGGGCAGGACGCACGCAGCAGGAGCCAGGGGAGGGAGGCAGTACAAGACGTTAATCAGAGTAGCAGGGCCAATAGAATAGCAGGAGGGAGGGAGGAAGCACGCAGGGATGAAGCAGCATGGTCAGAGAGGAAGGATTCAGAAAGGGGCAGAAGGTGTGAGCAGAGAGGCAAGGCCAGCATGGGCTGAAGAGCTCAGATTCCCCACCATGCCCTGTCACCTCCTGCTTTACCATCTGCCTCCCATTCTTTGTCTTCTGGCCCAGTAGGGGTCATCCCAGCCCCACCTCCCAATTCCTACCTAAGCCTAGCCCAACTCTAAGCCCTACCAGAGAAACAGACTTACCACCACGGTTCTTGGGCCTGCAAGTCCCCAGTTCCAGCCATCCTTGGGGCTCCTGCCAGTGTTGGTTTCCTCAGTATTGCAATCTGTGCTTTCCAGAATCTCCTTTCTTCCCATTCTTCAGGAAGATGTCAGGACGTTTTGTCCCTCGACTGGACAAGATCCAGCAGGAGTAGGCAACGCAGGGCCAAATCCGAGACACCAGACTGAGAGGGACAGGGAGGGGAAATGGGGCAGTCCTGGGTGATCTGGACCATCTGGTCACCTCAGTCTAATTTTATGAGTGGACAAGGAGACCAAATTAGATCAGAACTCAGTGTACAGAAGAGTCATTTGGGACTGAAGACCTTTTGTCACCACTGGTCATCCAAACACAAGTGCAAGTAGATCTATTTACCAAAGACTTACAAACCAGGACAGTTCATAACTGAAAAGTGTGTGAACCCTGGCCACAATCAACAACCTGCTCCGCTTAGATCAGCCTCCACATAGCCCATCGTTGCGCCCTACGTCCAGCCTCCCTCCGGGATAAGTGTCCCCCTCTAACCCCTCCTCTAAGCAAGTGCTCTCCTGGAAGAATGGACAAGATGTGATGCCAACCAGTAGAGCTTGGGCCCGATCCCAGCATGAGCCAGGAGCTTGCCTCCTGCTTTATGGCCACAGGACTGACTGTTCTCCAAGCCAAGCTGGATAAACATCTTACAAACTCAACCATTTCCTGTGACCATAAGAATGGCTGAATGTAAGAATCTGCTACTGGTAACTCCAAATCTTAAAGCATATACTCTACGCCACCTTTTCTCCAATTGTAGTGTGCAGCAGAATCAACCGGAGGCCTTATTCAAAGAGAACTTTTGATTCAGTCGGTCTGGGGTAGAGGCTGAGAATTTGTATTCCTACCAAGTTCCCAGGTGCTGCTGCTTCTACCTCTGGTCTGGGGACTACACGTGGGAACCACTGGTCCACATCCAGAGAGGGTAACAGTATACCTGTCTTCTGTTAAGGAACCTCCAACATACAAATGACTCACTTTCACTTAGCACTTTAACCTCACTCAAAGCCGGGGCACAGAAGGCTGCCACACAAAGAGAACTACTGACAAATTCATTCATTCTAAGGCCTCTGAAGAAAAAAGAAATAAAAAGCAACTAATCCAAGCAGACCTCACTCCCACCTCCTGCCAATTACTCTATCGCATCACCCGTCCTTAGTTTCTGTGTAAGCCTCCGGCACCGTGGAAACTTTTGTTCACCATTGCCTGGCTCACTGCCACCTGACACTAGGACGAGAGCTCCAAGAGAGCGGGCACTTTGCCTGTCTTGTTCACCACTGTAATCCCAGTGTAATTCACACTGCCTGGTGCTTAGCATCTTGTCCATACGTGCCTGTTGAATGAACAAATGAACGTACCAAAGAATCAAATAGCCTAAGACATTAGGAGCAGCGTCTTTCAGTGTGGTTCCCAAAGTTGGGTTTGAGATTTTCCTCCCAATTTCTTTCTCTTTTGACGGTAGAAGCTGAACTCCTTGTGCTTCCCCAGGATGTGAAGGAGAGATGTACCTCAGCCTGGCTCTCGGTGGCAGGAGAAAGAAGACAGGAAGTCCCAGGCCTGGGGCTGGTGCTGAGTCACTTCCCAGCTCTGGTGCCCTTTCACACAGAAAGGATGCCGATGAGTCAGCTCTACCTGGAAATAGGACTTGGGGGGCAACAGGTGTAGTAGAATGATGTGATGTTTTAGAGTCAAGAGATTTGGGTTCAAACCCGAGGCAAGTCATTTAAATCTCCCCGCGTCTCAGTTTCCTCATCTATAAAATAGGGATGGTGAATATACCCAAGGTATAGTGTCCTTGTGAGGTTCAAGGAAGTTTGTAGAATACATGAACATCTTGGTAAACAGTAAAAGACTGTAACTTGCTGGTAAATGTAGTCTTAATAAGACCATGTAATCTCTGGAAGGATCAAAGTCGGTGACATATCTCAGGATGTGCATCTCTACCCAGCCCTGCCCTGCCGCCTCTCTTAGTTCTGCCCAGTATCTCCAGACCCGAACCCCAGGCTGCTGTGCGGGAGCCCCAGCCCAACAATAGCAGCCCTGGAGCTGGCACTGGCACCCGGAGCCCCAGGGGCACTGCCAGCAGTGTTGCAGCCAGAGGCCACAGCCAGTGGCGATGCGGCCAGGAGGGAGCCCAGGAGAAGACCACTGTGGGAAGCCACAGAGGAGCACGGGACCAAGCAAGTGGTAGGAAACAGGCTGAGATCCCTTGACTTTTGGCCAAAATCCTCTGAATAGCTCAGAGTCCCAGAGACTAGAACTTCATAGATGCCAAGGCTCCCCTCATCAGTAGGCCCTGGCTTCTCTCACCAGGCTCAGGGCCTTGGGGTTGGGGGAGGTCTACACTCTTTCCTGTCCCCCCCCCCTCCCTGGTCTCCTTTACCTTGAATTAACCAGTGGGCTGCTTTAACCAGTTCCCCATTAATCACATTTTATGCTCCAGGAAAAGGGGCTCTTGGCCATAGGTGCCCTCACCCTGCAGGTGTCACCTCTCCTGGCCAGTCACGCCCACACTGTTTCCACTCTTTAAGTGACAGCCTTCATGACCAATCTGCAAGCAGCATGACTTCTCATCCCTTTGACCAAAAGTTCGATTCGCTTCTGGGCACGCAGCACATGGCTGTAGGAAGGCTGAGCCCAGCCTTCCTACAGCCATGTGCTGCGTGCCCGGAAGGACAAGCACGGCCACGGGTTCCTGCCCTCGACCAGCATGTGACCTGCTTGGAGACACAGAATTCATCACCACCACCACGAACTGCTCTGCTCACTGCAGAAAAAAAACAACACACGGGGTGAGGAGTGAGGGCATCTGTACTAGGTCATCTTCAGTGGCAGAGTTCTCCTCTGGCTTCGAAATGCTGTATCGATTGAGGCATCAGGGCCATGGGCAAGTTCTCTGATTTCTGGCAGTGTTACGAAGTGATTGCTGCTGGCGGTTGCTTGAATCAGGAAAGTTCAGGGAGGTGTCATGCATCAAGGGGTTTGAAGAACGAAAGAATTCCAAGATGTAGAAAGGGCGAGAAAGGGAGCTCCATGTGAGGAAAGTGAGTAGGGCAGAGGGCGCTAAAGGGAGTCTGTAACCAGGGCAAGGCCAGGACATGGGGCATGGAAGGAATGGAAGCTGGTAGGGCTTCGGGCACCTGTGAGCTCTCCAAAGTAAACTGCTCAAAAGCCCCAAGTCTCCACAGACCACCCTCGGCTCTGCGCTGACAGCAGCCCATGAATGATGATGAATGTGCGAGGGTGTCGAGGGAGAGGACCAGGGAAACACACATGTTGCGGATCCCTGGCTTTCAAAGGACGAGGAGAGAAAGGTGCCGGAGAGGTAGGGGTACCTCTAGCTCAAGTGGAGCCTTAATCAGCCTGTCTGCTCACTGGGCCTGTGCCAGGGCCCCCAGTGCCCCCCGAGGATGAAGACATCCCTGCCTTGTCCTCTCGCTCTCCCTCTGCCCCCACACCCTGCTTCCAGGCTGGGCTGGGGAGGAGTGGCAGGACTGTTATTCCAGGCAAATCTCGGAAGGCAGGTGGGGACCTGCTCACAGGAACACCCAGCTGTCAGAGGCAAGTGCTGGAGGAGGGGTATCCGCTGCCCGGAAATGGGTGTGAAGGGCCCACGGTCTCTGGTTTTGGGTTGGACAGGGCTGGCTGTGGACTATCCCACTGGAGAGAGAAGAGCCTCACTCCCACCTCTGCTCCAGTTCGCCTCCCCGTGTCTCATGGACCTCTCTGCTCTTCCCCCCTCGAGTTTCTGTACAGACCGATCCCTTTGTCTGATCACTTCCCGGCTTCATCTCGTCATATCCTCATTGCATTTCCAAAGCTGACTCCAAACTCGCCTTCTCCATGAAGCCCCTGGCTCTTTTTTAATATGCGTATTTATTTTATTTTATTGAATTTATTGGGGTGACATAGTTTAATAGGTTTCAAGTATACAGTTCCATAATATATCATCTATACATTGCATTATGAATTCACCACCCCAAGTCAAGTCTCCTTCCATCACCTTTTATTCCCTATACCCTCTCCTGTCTCCCCCACCCCCTTTCCCTCTGGTAATCACCATTCTGTGACTCTTTTTGTTAATATCACTCCTTTGCTCCCAAGCTCCCAGAGTACACAGTTCTCACAGTACTTTTCACGTTCTGGAATTATCCATGGCCCTGTCTCCCCCACTGGACCATAAACACCCTCAGATTAGAGTTCCCATCAGGGATCACAGATTCAAGTGCATACAGGACCACATGGGTGGGACTCAGATGATAGCTATTTTGGTGTTAGCCAGACAATTGGGAGTCCTAGGATCTGTGAGAAATCTGGCCTTACCTGAGGGGGAAAATAATACCATGTGGGAATGTGGGCCAGAACTTCACATTTTGGGAGAGAAGCCTGATATCAGCGGTATCAGCGTTTGCACATGAAATCACCCCATTGTTATGTGTCAGCAGTGAATGCAAATTTAAGACACCATGTTGTGAGCCAATAAAATGCACCCGCAGGCCAGATCAGCTCAAGTGCCATCGGTTTGCAGCCTCTAGATTTATTTCTGCATCCCCTGTGCCTGGCACATTATAGATATTCAATAAATGTTTTTTTGATTGAAAAGCAAATGCATGAATGAAGGAAGGAACAGAAAAGAGGAGCAGATGGGTGGAAGGGGAGAAACAGGAAGGATGGCCAATTGTCATGATGCCAAGTGGTGGGTCGGCAGCTTCAGGTGACCCTACTGCCAAGCTGTCAGTGTGAACACCATCCTGGTCTCAATTGCTGGCTGAGCAGGGGGATGGAAGACTGGAGGCCTGTGATCCCAGAGTCTGCAAACCTCTTCTCAGAAGGCACTACAGTAAGAAGCTCTTGCTGCAGCTAAAATGCACATGCCGAAAGCAAGCCTGTGTGCACACACTGATGAGCAAGGTGTGTGGGAGCTGGAGGCTCAGCACAGCACTTCCGACGAGGCTGAGCTTTTGCAGCATGTTACAGACACGTTCAGGAAAGAAAGGAGGAATAATTTTGCCATTTGGAGGATGCAGGGAGGAAGAAAGGAGTCGTCCAGCCAGACATCTATCTCTAGCCAGAACCTCTGCTGCTGCCTTGCTGACACTTACAGCTTGAGGGGAGGGCATGCGTGAGCCTGGTGTGGACTGTGGCCTCCAGGAA